TCAGGATCTTCGAAGTTGAACAATAGCCCAAGAAATTCTTCATTTCCTGTAAAGAAGCGACCAGCTCCAAATGCAAATTGTGAGAAGCAGTTTCGTTTTAAATCCACTAAAAGGAAAACCAAGCATGTGCATAAAACAGTTGAAACCAAATTTGGATGAAATGAAGGAGTGTGTTGAAAAATTAGATGAGATTGAAGTCGATGTTTGTGGGTTATGTTTACATCCTGATGATAAGACTGGTAATGCTGTTGTAAATTGGGTTGAGTGTCTACTTTGTGGCACTTGGTATCATGGACTTTGTGCTAAAACTGACTCTCTTGATGATTTTATTTGTGATGTTTGTCAAAAAGATTAATACAATAATAGATTATATTTTAAAAATTATAATAGTTGTAACAATTTCTGAACTCGTAACTACTAGTACTGTACTCACAATTGTTGTTTGTCACTATATTCTGTATGAAAATCATTAGTTTAATATTTTTCTTAAGTTTTATTACAATTACAAGGTTAAGTGAGCTACGCCCTCTTCCGTTTCTCCCCGTACTTTCGAATATCCGGAAATGCAAACGCCCTCTCCCTAATGGCTCGTTCACAGTTGAGTCTTAGTCGAGGTCTTAGTCGAGTAGTTCCTTCATCCTATCGATTAGTTTTTCTTTCCAGGAAAGGTATAGATACATGGTACTTCTAGGACCTTTCCAAACTCCCTTTTCCCATTAACATGAGTTTCTATTTGACCCCACGAAGCAAGAAATATGATGCAACTCGCGAAAACTCCCTAGGAAGGAGAAGTACATGTAGCTCATAATGCAAAGACACTGGGGAACATCTAAACTCCTACAGCCTGAGGTAGAACATGAGAGTGATCTTTTTCCAGACCTGGAACTGGAAGTAATGATGAAGATTGAATTATTTTGTTTAAAAAGAGTATTAATGGTAAAAATTAATTTAAAATTAATACCGCATTAGATCATTGACATTTAGGCTGCGTTTACACTACTCCGGTTTCATTGGAAAACGGAGACTTTTAGTCACGGATACGGGTTTCTTTTACACTAAAACACATGAAAACGGATACTTATCCGGAGACATTTGAAAACGAATACCTAACACACTTTCCACACACTTTTACCTTAAGTGTCTCCAGACCCTTCCTCCGCGATCCGCAGGTGGCGAAGGGGCGGGGCGAGACTAACACTATATTATTCCCATTCCAAAATCTGGTGATCTGTCACAGGTCTCAAATTATAAATCTATATCTCTTCTCTCTTCAGTCTCTAAAGTTTTTGAAAGACTGATTTTTAACAAAGTGTTTGATTTTATTTCCAGTTCTTCAGTTTCTGTCAATTTGGCTTTATTCCAAATCGCTCTGCTCTTAAGCAGCTGCTGATGCATTTTCACAGTATTTTTTCAACTATAAATAATAATCAACAAGTTGACACTGTAATGTTAGACATTAAGAAGGCCTTTGATTCAGTCTCCCATCAACAACTTCTTTTCAAACTTTGGGGAGCTGGAGCTACCGGTTCACTATGGCTCTTATTCCGTTCATACTTACCTGAAAGATATCAGTGTGTTAAAATTGATAATCATATTTCTAGTTGGCTTCGAGTTTGTTCTGGTGTGCCACAGGGTAGTATTCTTGGCCCATTGTTATTCATTTTATACATAAATGACTGACCTTCCAACTTGAAAACATCCAATGCTCTTCTGTTTGCTGATGACACTAAGTTATTTAAAGTCATCACCTCCTATTTAGACTGCTCTGCTTTGCAAAAAGATCTAATTTCTCTAACTGAATGGTGCATCTCTTCTAAATTGTCTTTCAATGCTAGTAAATGTTCCCTGATTCGCTTCTCTACAAATTCAACACCTTTTGAGAATGATTATCTACTCTGTGGTTCTCAACTCAAAGTTACAACTAGTTGTCGAGGTTTAGGTATAATTATATCTTAAAATTTGTCTTGGTCTGGCCATTACAAATTTATCTCTTCCAAAGCATACAGTCAACTTTCATTAGTTAAGAGATGTTTCAGAAATGCCTCTACCTCTGTTAAGAAACTCCTATACATTTCATTGGTGAGATCCAAAATTACATATTGATCTCTCTTAATTTACTCCCGTTAATGTACTTATATGAACTAAATGATGTTCTATTTTTTATTAAATGATTAAAGTTCCCTGATCCTAGTTTTGATATTCTCCAGTATGTCTCTTTTTCGTCTTCCAATACTCGTGGTTCTAAAAATAAACTAGTTTTTTCTGTTAGTCACTCAAATCGTTTTCGTCACTTTTACTTTAATCGAATCGCAAGACTTTGGAATACTTTGCCGTTGATTTAGATACTTCATTTGATATAATTAAAAGGAAACTTTGGACTATTTTTTGAAATCATTTTTTAGTTAGCTTTGATAGTTGTAATGTATGTACTTTTCATTTTTTGTGTCCCTGTTCTTCTTGTCATTTGTCTTAGTTTGTCCTTTTCTTACTTTATTATACATGTATATGCATTATTTTTTTTCTTTTTTATTTTATTTTGTTTGTGTCAGGATGTCAACAGTCCTTGTTGGCAGTCGTACAGGTTGGTTTTTACCTCCTGTGAAACTTGATAATAATAATAATAATAATAATAATAATAGCCTTGGGTATTTTTCAGATTTTTGACATTTTTTTAAAATGGTCGTAACTTTTAAAATTGAAGTCGGAATCACCTCAAACTTTCTACACAGCATAAGAACATCAATATGTATTAGAAAATGAAATAAAAATTTGGGGTGATTTTGGAGCCATTTTTTGAAAAAAAACTATGGACTTATAGCCTTGGGTATTTTTCAGATTTTTGACATTTTAAAAAATGGTTGTAACTTGAAAAATTGAAGTCGGAATCACCTCAAACTTTCTACACAGCATAAGAACATCAAGATGCTTTTTTAATTAACAAAATGGTGGAATGAGGTAAATTGGACTGACAGTGATAGAGAGAGGACAACCTTTTCTTATTGTTTAAGCTATTTGAAAAGTTGTGGATCTGCATATGGATAATTGGAGTAGAATGGTGTAAAAATTATTCTTGTAGCATTGACCAAAGACCACGATACCCCTGCTTAACTGGATTGATAGGAGATGATGATGATCATGATGAAAAAAAGGTGAATGAACAAAACGGCTGACTTGCCAATTTTTGACTTTCCTCTTTGACAAGGTTTAGAGCCATGCTAGTAGTACCATTAGAGTCCTCTGGTAAAGATAAGGTCTTCTAAGAAGTCTGGTAAGCATAGGAGCTCGTTTTCCTGGTATAGCAAGGCTACAAAAGTTGTGGCAGCCATTTTGAAGTGGGGCAAATCCTACTTAGTAACGCTACTGCATTACTAATAGTACAGAGACTTTTACCCAATTTTTGAGCAACTTTTTAAAAATCCAATTTTGATTGGAATCATCTCAAAATTTCTATGCAACAGGAGTACATGTATGTGTATCAGAAAATACATGTACATGTACATATCAATTACTATAAACTAACAGTGTATGATGGTATGTTCTTCAACCAGTCATCACATAAATTGAGCAATACCATCTGAGGTTCAGTGGCCTTCAATATACATTGTAAGAACACCTAACTTCTCTACCTAAAGACATGATGACATCATCAACTGTCACATGACTACCACACCTACCTTTAAACAGGCTTGAAACAGCAGCTGCAAATCACTACCTTTTATGACTATATTAGGAAAATCCAACAAGTGTACCTAAAAATAATAAAATAAATAATTAATAATTAACATAGCCACACCTCTAGTGGATCAAGCATTCCTTTTCTAGTAACAATTTGTTTGGGTTCCACTGGTAGCGACCAAATGAGAGCTGCCACTTCTTGTGCTGTCTTCTGCCCCAGGCGCTTTTGTCCCCATCAAACTGAAGTATGGATAATCTTTAAAAAGAGCTGTCCAGTACATGGATTGAATATAAAAATGGCTCCATTAATCGGCTTTGTCGTTAAATTACCTTCAAATGTATATTAAAAAGAAATTGACAGATTAAAGTTTGAGTTTAGTATAATTATAATTAATATTTGGTGACTACATTCTTCATTAAAACATTATAAATTAGTTTAAACAAAGCCAAGGACACCATTAATACACTATTCCTCATTATTAACAAACTCCAGCTGGTCACTATACACTATCAGCTGCAGTGGATACAGAGGGGGCATGGCAGTGGGTGGAGCTAACCTTATAAATGATAACTTGATACACGTTAGTATCATCAACAAACCAAAAGATTTGATTTGAGAATAATTCTCCATAATTTTGTGACGACAGATACATGTACATGTGTACATGTAAGGCTCAGTTGGCTCTGAAGAGTACAGCTGGAGTGCCTTCCTTATCCTCTCTCAATACATAAAGAACAGGATTAGCTTTCATTATCTTAGACATGGCCTGCTGGATATAAGGTTTCATTCCTGGGATCCAACTTCCAAAGGCACTGCATGGGAATAAAAATACGAGAATGAAAAATATTATGTACACAATTGTGTATGTACACAATGTACATTGTACATGTATATGTGTCTTCAATTTAAAATTGTCACTCATTAAATTTGCTAAAATTCGACCCACAGTTAAAATTAGGCCCGGCCCCTTACCTGTGTAAATTATAAACCAGATCAATGCCAATCATAGCCCCAGTTGGTGATGGATAAATACAACATGTTGTCAGTGGTGTAGTCAAGGAACTAGGCACGAGCATCTTTCAACATCATGAGAATCATAGTCACCCCACCTTAACTGTACACCCACCCAGTACTTCTGTGTAGTTGTGGCGTCCATTATATCTCTGTTAGGAATAATAATAATAATAATAATAATAAAAATAATACACTCACAGGTTGACGTCATGCTTCATTAGTCTCATTCTGAAGTCCCTCGGCTAGCACTTCTTGTTATTGTATCCGACACTGTTCTCATCATTAGGGTCAGGGTGCTCCATCAGGTAACGCTGCATGAGGTCTTTAAAATCATCAGCTGAAAACCTAATCACATGACAAGTTATCAATAACTGGTTATTAAATAGGTAGTTATTAATAGGTAGCTATTAAGGTTCTCAGTGACCAGTGCATTATCAACAGATAGTTCAGACTGCCCGGAATTTTTTCTAATTTTTTCTTGCCGGGAGCTTCAGAATGTCATCGGATTGTTGAATTTTTTCTGATTTTTATTGAGAGTGCAGGAATTTTTTCCAATTTTTTTTGCCGAGAGCTTCGGAATGTCATCAGATCATCATCTTTTATTTTTTTGAATTTTTTCTAATTTTTTCCGAGAGCGCGCCCGTCTGATTATTAACTCATCACAGACCACACCCACAACAACCACACTCACCAGGACAGACTAACCTGAAGAATACATGTACCCTGTCAATATAACGTGAGTATAATCTAATCGGGGAACAGCCTCGGTGTCCATGTCTTGATATGTTAAGAAATCGTTTGGTAGCTGAGGAGGTCCGGCCATTTCCCTGGCCCAATACCAATAGATCAGGAACCAACCCGTAATACTGTACTATGAATGAGGCAAACTGGAGTCCTCTTATAATACCGTAAGAATTACTGTGATTCATGTCCTAGTAACACAATGTACATTAACATGATATACATGTACACATGTACAGTATATAAACAATAATTTCATTGGGCAAATAGAACAGATCACCAAGATCCTAATAAATGAAGAATCATTAAACACTCTTCATGTAGCTAACAGAATTTTGCTCAGCAAAAACAGGTATACATGTACTGTATACATGTATATATACATACAGTTCCCCTGTTCCACCGCTAATGGGTAATTGGGTATACATATACAGTACATGTATATACTTACCTTATAATTGATGACCATGTTGTTCTTTGCTGCCACGTAATCAGCAATGTTATGATCAACGATGAGACGTATGTAACAGTTGGTTCAATAAAGTTAGGTCAACCTTCTCATACAACTTCTCAAAGGATGTCTCCATCATCACGTTACACTCACCCTCCACAGTGTCCTAAAAATAATACCTGACAATTAATAACTACCGTTCAGTAACTGTGGGTCAACAAAGATAAAAATCAGACCAAATTTTTCCAGAATTGAAAAGGAAAGAATTCTCAATTTTTATTGCATTTTCTGAGACATATTGATGTACTTATACTGTTTAGAAAGTTTGAGGTGATTTCGACTTCAATTTTTCAA